ATATATATATATATATATTTTTCTTTTTACTTAGGTGATCGTGCGAACTTGTTTACTGGTGCTATGTTTAACACTTACAGTCCACCGCCTGGTTTTTGCTTTGATGTATTATGTGACGATGAACCAGTAATTGATGACCCTGATAGCCCAGACTATAACGTTCCCAAGAAAGTACGTAATTATTTCTTATATCCATGTAATTATATTATTTCATTTTTATTAATTACTAAATTATTGGAATAATTGTGTCAACTAACATTATGATAAAACTAAAAATATTATATGAAGAAAAACAAGAAATATTTGTATATTCACATTGCAATCGATATAAATTATTAAAAGTATTGTTCTTTACGATTAAATGATCAACTTATAATTACAATGGAAAAAATATTTTATTTTTTTTTCTATAAATTAGAATATTTATATTCTTGTTGTTGTTGTTAATGCTGCTGCAAGATTTATGCATATTGAAAAACAAATTAACGTTTATTTTATTTTAATATATCTTATATCAGATTAAAAAAATAAGATAATAACGATATATAACTTTTGCTTCTTTTTTTTGTTGTTGTTGAAATTAGATAAACGATTATCTAGAATACGCGAAAGAACAAGCAGAACATTTTCGTACAAATAATATTATATTAACAATGGGAGGAGATTTCACTTATCAACAGGCGGAAATGTACTTCACGAATCTGGACAAGTTGATAAGGTACTAACAACTTCGATGTTTCTTATCACAGATTTAAACTTATGCTTGTGTGTGTGTGTATGTGTTGATGCGTGTCTGTCTGTCTGTCTGTCTGTATGTGTATGTGTGTAAATCATTCATATCGATTGACACAATTTTTATTTGCTTTTATTATCAATCGTTAAACACACGTAACACGTTTTACTCGTATTATTATATCGATTTAAAAAAAAAAGATATATATTTTGAAATGCGAGTTAAAATTTTGTTTTGAAAAATTCATTAGAGCAGCATCATTTCAACAACGTTAACAAATTTTTTGATTTCATTACAAATCTTTACAAAATAACATCGTTGGAATTAACAATTATTAAAACAAATCTTACATAGAAAACAGTATTTTTTTTTTTTGTAAGTGCATGATGCATGTAATATGAAATCAATAATTCATTTGAAATTATGCGAATAACAAATGTGAGATTGTAATATTTGTTTAAATTATATGTCAGAAACAATTATTCCAATAGTAATGTAACAAAATTATGTAAAAGCAAATGATTTGTAACGTTAACGTTTGCGAATAAACGTTTAAACAAAAAAACAAACAAAATTTATTAAAATATTGCATTTGGGATGGAAGATTGTTTCATCTGATTTTTGGTAAGTAAAGAAATCATGGGCCTATTAACAGGTGGAGTACTTCTTGGCATATGTATTATTTCAAGCGAAATTTTACAATACTAATAATGTTATCATCACCATGGGAGACGATTTTAATTATCAACATGCAGAAATGTGGTTCAACAATTTAGACAAATTAATCAAGTAAGTTTGTTTTGCCGTTTCAATTTCATCCCGTTAAACGACGCTTTATATTAAACCAAAAAAACTGATATCCCGTTGCAAATGAAATACAAGGTAAAAAAAAGAAAAAAATATAATTATTATATTGCATGTGTAAAATATTATATATTATATAATATAATATATAAAAATATATATTACTGTATGATTTATATATACGAATAAAATTTTGTTCTCACGCATAAAATAATATTTAAAAATAAACTCATTCACATTTAATTTAACATAATATATTAAATATATATTTGTATATATATAATATAAAATAATATTAAAATATTGAAATAATTAATTTTTTCATATGTTGTAGATATGGAAACGAATTAAATGGATCAACGGTTAATTTAATTTACTCAACACCATCATGTTATTTGAAAGCATTGCACGATTCAAATATTAATTGGCCAACAAAATCCGATGATTTCTTTCCATATGCAAGCGATCCTCATGCTTATTGGACAGGATACTTTACTTCAAGGCCAACGATAAAATATTTCGAAAGAATGGGAAACAATTTGTTACAAGTAAGGATTAAAACATTTTTCAATTAATTCTATTCCCGTTGAAACAATTACAATATTTAATTTTAAAATACAAACATATATATATATATATATCAGAATTATAAGAATATGTTGATTTAAACAGATGAGCAAACAATTATCCGTATTGGCAAAATTGAAGGAAAATGAAAAAGAATTGGAACAATTCCGTGAAGCTATGGGTGTCATGCAACATCACGATGCAGTTACTGGAACGGAAAAACAATTGGTTGCAGATGATTATGCTCGTTTGTTGTATGAGAACGTGTTCAATAACGAAAATATCGCAGCTAAATCTATTTAGTAATTTTATTCATTATTGTTTTTTTTTTTAATTTAACATTCTGTCTTACAACAATCTAATATTTTGTTTCCATTTTTATTTCTAACAGCAAATGGTCTAATCAAGAAAATTCAACGTTAGAATGGAAAACCTATTCTTGTTTAGAATTGAACATAAGTTCTTGCGTTTATACAGAAAATAGTTCAGATTTTGCAGTGATAATATACAATTCACAAAGTCAGCCAGTTTCTACTTACGTTCGTTTACCAGTTAATGGAAATTCTTATGAAGTATTGGACTCGACAGGTAGATCATTTTTTTTTAAACGGACCTTTCTTATTTTTTTTTATGAGAATAATTGAGATATACGATTAAATATAATTTTGTAAAATTAAATTAAATTAAATTAACAACAGATAATGTCAAAATCGTATCGCAAATTGTACCGATACCTGAAAGAGTTTTACAAATACCAGGAAGAGAAAGTAAAGCAACTAAAGAATTAGTGTTTCGGGTTAATGATTTGCCACCGTTGGGTTACAAAGCATATGAAATAAGTGCAAAATCTGATATGAAAGAAGAAACGCTTGGTGAATCAACTAACTTCATAGGAGGAGACGTGAGTTAACAAATGTTTAACACTTTGTTATTTTTTTTTTTTAAGTATTTTAAGTATTTTCTCTTAATTATATTTCATATTATATAAATTAAACGATAATATTATATTATTATTTTAGTTGTACACAATAACCGTTGACGATTCTGGTCATATAGCTGTACAATATAACGATCAAAGTGACATGAATTTTGTTCAATCATTTCATTATTATGAAGGAGCAGAAGGTAATAACAAAGTATATGAAAATCGATCATCCGGTGCTTACATCTTTAGACCGAAAACTTCAGAGATCCATAATTTTGTATACGAGAGAGATTACACCATAGTTAAAGGTAAATTTATCTTCAAAGTTCACTTACAATTAGTAAATTTAATAAACAACATAATAGTAACAAATTCCTAATGATAAGAAACCGTCATATATAAGTGCATGAATTGCACAGAACCCCTGATGATAGGCAACCGTCATATATAAGTATATGAATGTACAGAACCCCTGATGATAGGCAACCGTCGTATATAAATACATGAATGCACAAAACTCCTGATGATAGGCAACCGTAATGCATAATGCATTTATATATACATAGTGGGGAACAAAAAATTATATAACAAAAGTTGAAATTAATTCAAAAACATTTGTTTCAGGTCCTTTGGTAGAAGAAATTCATCAAAATGTTAACGAATGGATCAGCCAAGTTGTCAGAGTTTATAAACAAGAGGAACGTATTGAATTCGAATGGCTAATTGGTCCTATTCCCATCGAGTAAATAATAATAATTATTATTATTTGATTTTAATAATATATATATATATATATAAACGATTTTTTAATATAAAATGATAGAAATATTGTTTATCAATATTTATTTTAACAGCGACAAACAAGGTAAAGAAATAGTTACGAAGTATACGAGTAATCTTAATTCCAATGGTGAATTTTATACGGATAGTAATGGTCGTGAAACATTGAAACGTAAACGAGATCATAGACCAACGTGGAATTTAAGATTATACGAACCAATTGCTGGAAATTATTATCCCGTAACTACGAAAATGTATTTGAAGGATAAAAATAAACCATTGAAATTTAGCGTTTTTACTGATCGTTCTCAAGGTGGTACCAGCATGAAGAACGGAGAATTAGAATTAATGGTGAATATTAAATAAATGAATATCGTCGTTGTTGTTTGAAAATGAATTAATCAAATAAATATCTTTACAGATACATAGAAGATTATTAAACGACGATGCATTCGGTGTTGGTGAAGCTTTGAACGAAGTTGCTTACAACACTGGTCTGGTAGTACGCGGTATTCATTACGTTTATGGTGGTAATACCAAAAATCTTGATGCATTTACATTGAAAGAGAAAAAATTAACATTAGAATTAGCACTTCGTCCATCTATCTTCGTTACACCACTGACACAAACAAATATTGACAATTGGCGTAATACTAATGCATTGAAAGTATGTTAAATATATATATATATAACAATTTAATTATCAATATTCTTGTCCAAAAAATATATTAATATATAAGTTTCAAAGGGAATTATAGACGGTTAATAAATCTAATGAACAATTTATTTTGAACTAGTTCAAATAATATAAAAATAATACAAAATAAATTGTTCATCAGATTTATTAACCGTCTATAATTCCCTTTGAGACTTATATATTAATATATAACAATTTTAATTCTTTTTGTTTTTTCTCTTAACAACACGTATTTATTTATAAATAATATAATATATTATTTTATAGAAATCTGGATTGGCTAAAGCGTTACCACCAAATGTTCATTTACTTACATTAGAACCATGGAAAAATGATACTATTTTATTAAGACTTGAACATTTATTCGAAGCAGGTGAAGCTATGCAATGGTCTGCGCCAGTAGATGTTAATATTAAAGTAAATAGAACAATTGTACAAAATGAAATATTTATTTGTAATAATTATTATTATTATCTCATACGATTTCTTCGAATCTTTCTTTTTTTACAGGATTTATTCGCATCCTTCAAAATAACGTCGATTAAGGAAACAACATTGGGTGCAAATCAATGGTTAGAAGATAACAATCGTTTGAAATGGAATTCAGAAACGAACGATATTTTAAACGATTTCAAAGATACGTTCGATCCTATTGAAATTCGAGAAGGTGCAATTAATGTACATTTAAAACCTATGGAAATACGTACTTTCATTTTAGAAGTATCATATAATTAATTTAATGAAAATTCATTATTATGTACATATACATATTATATAAATAATATAAAGTACATGTGTATGAACAAAAATTTGTATTACGTCATGAATAAAATATACTTATCGCGAGATTTAAATAATATGTTATAATAAAATATTACATTTAATCAATATAATATATATTCAATGTGAACAAAAAAATCGATACATTTTTATACGAAAGCCAATAAAAAAAGATGTGTAAATCAATTTATTTCATTATTATTTATCTTAACCTCCATAAAATATGACAAATGATATTTCCATTGATATTCATTTGAAAGTTCGTATTTCAGTGAGAAAAAAAATTGTATAAAATTTGTAATTATTTTCATCTATACTACGATGTCACGTTATAAAAATCAAAATAATTTTTCTGTGGAAGTAAAAACAAAAATAAAAAAAAAAATATAATTTATATCCCTTATATATATAATGATAATACATATATTATAATATTTATTTATTTATATGTACATATATGTAATTAAATATCCATATATATATATATATATATTTAAATAAATAATTAAATATACGTAGAATTTTCAAGAAAAAGATGAAGATTCGTGGGCACAAACATTGATAACGATAACACCAGAAGATGATGCAGTATTGAGAGAAATTAAAACAATTATCTCGGTGTCTGCGAGAGGTAATACATCATTGGATTTAAATACCGATAGTTTTATTTACAGACGACCATTAACTCCAAAATATCTCGTGGATATTGACGAATTGGAAGATGAAAATATCTCACACGCAGAAATTCAAACTTATTTGCAAGGATTATCGGTCGTTGATATTCCAGTACGATACAAAGATCAGATTTCGCAGACATTGTATATGAGTACACCATGTCCTACCATCAAATATTATAAAGATATTATGAGTAAATAATAATGATAATAATATTTATTTATTAACCCTTTGAATGCTGAATACTTTTAACCGAAATGTTTTCTACGAATGAAATAGTTTATTATTAATATTAATAAATTATATTTAATAATTATAATTTTTCTTTCTCGCAATATTATTTTCATCTGATAAAATACAATAAAATAACACTCAAAAAAGGGTTAATTAATATGAATATTTATGAGAGTATAATGTGAACAAAAAAAAAACAAACAAAACAATAATAATGAAGATAATAATAAGATAAATATTTATACACAGCATCTATGAGAGATGGTCCAATACCCGAATTAAAAACTACACGTGCAATACAAACTAAATTAACGTTTGATCCAAATACAAACCTAGAAATTGTTACGGAAATATTAAAAATTGATATTAACGATAACGAAATGATCAAAGATATGATTGATTTTATATGGAACGAAGATGATTATTTGCAAACCGAATTGAATGATTTGATATCTGATATTATTTATCATTTACAAGAACGTACATTTTGGATTTTAGATCCTACGAGTCTTTCTTATCCCGTTAATACGATCGAAAATTATACTGAAACTTTAATTAAATACGATTTAACCATAAATAAAATTGTGATAGACAACGAAACTCAAACTGAATTAACATGCGAACCTAAACTTTCAAATACCGAATTACTTACGGATTATCATGCTAATAAAAATTTGGTTTATGATATTATAAACGAATGTTTGAACAAAGCTGTTGAAACTAGAATCTTAATTGACGATATTATTGACGAAATTATCGAAAAGGGTGTTGAAATAATCAGGTACCCTCCTAGGGATCAAAATATTCAAACTTTGGCTAGTTACAAGGTCGACGAAAAGAATGAAGATGTTTTACGTAAATTAAAATTAACAATTGTCGTTGACCCATTGGAATCATCGATCATTGTATTACAAGTCATCGATGATTTGTTAAAATCAATTAGCGAAATAGTATTTAACGATGGTCAACAAATTGTTCAAACTATTCTTCGAGATACGATTAATAAATCAATTAAAATTGGTATTGAAATAGAAAAAATAAGGAATCAATCGCACGGTAATAATTATTTTTTTTTTTATAATTTTAATCCTAGTTGTAATAATTAAGAAAACTAATCTTAAGGAATTTTTATATGGGATTTAAATTCGTATATATTAATTATTATAAGTTTTGCATAATTAACAAAATATTCTTTCGATATAGATAATCTAATCGAACAGATCTTAGATAAAAGAAGAAAAAAGATAGCTAAGTTGATGGAAAAAAAGAAAACGTTGAGTGTTTATACACAGACAAGTATATCAGGAATACGTGAAGTAACAAAACTTAAGAAACTTATTGAAAGTTATAGTTGCCTTTGTTTAAAACATTCTAAATGTTATATGTGTGACTCTTTTCTAACAAAGGATAAAGATTTCAATGAAAATTTACAAATATTACGTACACAGGATATACTTTTAGCTTACAGACCATGTAACATTGTTAATAGTCCTATCGATATAGAAATTGATCGAGTATCTTCTAGTATTACAGAAAAAAAATCAATAACAAGTAGTAGAACTCAATTTTCAAATGAATCTAATTCAGGATCAGTAACAACAATTAATGTTCCATTAAAACCAAAAGAGAGAATAAATATTAAAGGTAAATTTTAAATATTTTTAAACATATCTAAATATATTTCATTGTTTAACAGAAAAATGTTTTTTAAATTATTATTATCAAAATAGATTCTATCGATGAATGGGCTCATGCAATTGATGCTGCTTTAACTATACCGTGGTCTTCTAAAAGTAAATTATCCTATGAGTGTAACTAATATATAAAAAAAAAAAAAGTTAATATTTATATATTAAATATTTTTTAATTTAAAATATATGATTTCTTTCATACGAAGGTTCTTTGAGTGAAACGGATAGAACGAAAGGATCCAAAAATAAATTAACTTTGCAAACAATGAAAATATTGCAAATTTTGAAGAGTACTTTTTGTATTCGTGATACTTGTCCTATGTCTGTCGTAGAAAAATTAAAACAAAAATCGTGTCAAGAGATCGATAAATTCGATATGAATTCAAATTGTGATACATACTTTTGTTTAAAAACCAAAGATTCTTACCTGAACGAAGAAAATGTTCAAGATGAAAGTAATATTATGGATAACAAAATTAATAACATATCGTTTGACAATGATAACTGCTTTTGTCATATTTCTTACGGATTAAATACTTTCGATCAATTTTCTAGAAATAATCACTCAAGCAAACTAAAAATTATACCTATACAATTTAATTCATAGAAAGCAACATCGTATACAGTAAAAAGTAAATTATATGTAGGATCGATACAATTTTAATTATTAGTAAATCTGTAAAGATTATATTAATTAATGATTTTGATAAAAAAATAACAAAAACATATGATGATAAGTAAAAAACTTTACGACATTGAACAATTTTGAATTCCTGGTACTTATAAATATATCAAAGAAATAAAAAAACATTATAATGTAATTAGTTTCTATAGATGTAATGAATAAACGGATCCCAAGAAAAAAAATAATAATGTGATTCTAGGCTAGTAAAAAATGTTATTATAAAATTCAACTAATATACGTAGAACCATTAATGTCTTACACCTGAAAAAAAAATGTTCATTGATTAAAAATTTGGTTAACAAATATATTCAATATCTTTGGTACATCTCTACAAATATTTGAAGTTACATTTGTTATAGTATTTTAAATAATTCTATTTCATATGAAGAGTTCATATGTGTGTACCTTCAGGAATGCAATTAGACATATATTTAAAAAAGCAACGAAATGCAAGAAAATGAAAAAGGTCTGATGTCAAATCGAACGATGATCACCTGTAACAAAAAGAAAACTATATTAATCATACAATCAATTGATAAAATAGCCTAACATATAAATCGTCCCATTCGCAGATGCATTTTTCAATTAAATTCTCTATTTATTTTAATAAAAAATCTCTATTAACCGTTGCAATAAAATTAATTTAAACGCGTGATTTTACATTTACATAAAATATATATATAAAAAGGAAAAAGTACAAATATTAAGTTACTAAAAAAAAATAATATGTAATAATTATTATGAAATACTTATGGAAAAGAAAAATAGCAAATTTAATAAAATACAATCACAGTGAAAAATCCTAAAGACGAAACAAGAAAAGAGATATTATTGTAATATTTATCGAACGTTATTTAAGCTTTAAAATTGAATAATATAAAGATTGTAATATTTTTGACTCTAACTAAACACATATGCATCTTTAAGACGATACGGACACAAATTTGGTGTCCCAAAGAGATGGAATGGTCCATCATCT